TCACCCAGAGTGTCCCCTATTGTGGGGGGCAGGGGAGAAATCCAATCAATCAATCAATCAATCAATCAATAAATCTAGGTTTAATTCAGGGAGGAAGGGTGGATCTGCTGGAGGCTTTTTTTCTTTGTGAAAAAAATGGGGAATGTAGTGGTGCAGTCCTCAGCATTCTGTTTCAAAACAATGGTTCTAGTCCTCAAGAGAAACAGTTTGGGGGCTGATTACTGTGCTCCGGGATGCCCCGTATGCCAGCTCCCTTCCAGCTGAGCACCGCACGGTGGGATCCGCTGCCGTGCCATTCTTGGCAGTTTTCTTGGTGTGGTTGCAGCATCTGAGAAAAGATGTTGGTGAACTGCCAACCCCTCCCCAGTTCCAGGTGGACCTGCGCATGATATCCACTGCCTTCAACATCTTGGAGAAATACGGCCGCAACCTTTTGCATCCCCGCAAACCCCATTTCTGGCGAACAGTCAAATTCAACAACCCCGTCTTCCGGGACACGGTTGACACCATCCAGGTGAGAGCTTTGGGCCCGGTCCCCCCAACGTGATCCCCCATCTTGGTTGCCCCACTTTATTTCAGCTTGATTTTTGCCCTGGTAAAACTGGAGAAGAACCCTGGGGGCCAGGAGGGAGGGAGATTCAAGGAAGCGTCTCGGTGGTGCGGAAGTGGAACTGGAAGATTAAGTGCCAATGTTGTCTTTTTATATCTGGCGAATTTCCAGTTCAGGGGTGGACTGAAGGTGCGATAATATTGCATGCTTCTTCAGAGATCAGGTCTGGGGCAGGTTCTTTCTAATCTGATCCTTTCTTAAGAGAAATAACCTGGTTCTGTCAATGAAGGGGCTGGGGATCCCTGAAAATCCACAAGCCCCAAACCATCCTCAAAGCCTCCTCAATTACTGTATAACAGTGTTTCTCAACCTCGGCAACTTTAAGATGTGTGGACTCCAACTCCCAGAATTCCCCAGCCAGCATAGAATTCTGGGAGTTGGAGTCTAGACATCTTAAAGTTGCCGAGGTTGAGAAACACTGCTGTACGCTGTCCATGTTTAATACAGCAATCTCCCAGAATTTTTTATAAGCAAAGGACAAGCAAAATAGGTGTGTTAAAACTTTACTGGGTTTCCCATGCTCTATTTTGCTTCGCCCCACCACTAACCCCATCCGTTCGTCTCCTAAATTGATTGATTTGTGCCATTGAGTTACGGTCAACATTGGTGGTCATGTAAATCGACCTTCTGTAGGTTGATCTGTCCTCAGCCTGTTCCATCAGGTCCTCCAACGGTGCACCCATCCTCACTGGAACTGAGTCCCTCCACCTGAGTCCACCACCGGGGGCGGTGCGTGTCCTGGGGAGGGAGTTTCCAAATGTTTTAAATAAGGGATTGGCATCAAATAACCCTTTGCAAAAGGGAACTCTGTGTGTGTGCATGACCCGTTTGCCTGCCTTCCAGATCTGCTGAAATTGTGCCTTCTTTCCCGGCAGGGCGGACGGGACGTCCTCCGGCTGTATGGCTATTCCGAAGAAAAGGCAGATGGGCTGTACTTCCCTGACCGCCTGCTCGAGCCGAACATTCCCCACGTGGCTTCCGTCACGGTGGATGTTATGATGCTCCGCACGGAGCTGAACCTTCTCCTATCGGTACAGGCGGCCATGAGACCATGCTGGACTGTGGGGGCTCGGGGAAGCTTTGCGGTCCCTGCTAAGAGTTGAAGAATGCTTGTGGTTCTTTCTCCCCATGTAGGACACTCACCCCAACCCTCAGGCATTGCAAGAGTTAATGCAGAGAGACTACAGCTTACAGGTGAGCTGGTATAGTTGCAGATAAAATATGGAGCAAGGTGTAGAAAACTTTGTGCTTTCATTCCCCCCCCCCCGCCTTTTTTTAATGCTTTCCAGTCACTCTTAGTATGTGATTCCTACCCTCTGGAATGAGATCCCCCTGAAATCTGTGTGGCCCCCACCCCTGTTGGCATTCTGTAGATTTTTTTTTCATAATACCTTTATTAATTTTTTTTTTAAAAGCAGTAAAAACTAACCAAAACTAACATTAAGAAAGAAAATAAAAAAAAGAAGGAATTGGAAAAAAAGAAAAATAGTAAAAGAAGAATTGACTTCCAACCCAGCTAGCAACAGATATAAGTAACAATATACATCAAGCTCTTGCTCTAAACTTACAGCATAACTTCCATTCTTTTTATTAACCCATATTATTTCGAGTCATCAGACCCATGCAACATAATTTCATTTTTCTGCGTCCCCCAAAAAGTCCAGAAAAAAAGGCATTCTCTAGATCTTTGAAGATCTGCTCCAAGCATCCAAGCTCTTGTTGAAGTCAGCTTCAGGCTTTTAGAGTCATTTTTCCCCCTTACTGATTTAAAATAAAAGGACGGGTCTGAGGACGCAACCCCAAATGGCATTTTCAGCACCAGAATTCCTCTTGTGTTCTTTTTGCATATAATTCCTCTCTGGGACTTCTGCCCCTTTCCTTCCCACCCACCTTTTTAGGTTCAGTAGCTTAATTTGGGGGTGGAGGCAGGTGCACATGTTATCTTATTGTCCTCTGACAAACCCAGTTGCAACTCATCCAGAGTTTTGCCAAGCTGAGGAAAAAGAGCTTCTGTAACTCTGGATAAACCAACTGCGATCCATCACCTTCTCCGTCAGGGTTCCATAATCCCCCACCAGAATGGGCAGTGCTGACAGTGGATGATGAAGGATAGAGTCCAACACATCTGGAGTGGGGAGGATTATAAGCCGGTCTATGGGCTGGTTTTTCTTCCTTGAGGATAGCATCTAAATCTTCTTCAAGGGCCACCCTTGACTGAGGGTGTGCTAGTCTGGCCTTGAAAGAATGAAACTTTGGATGAAGTTTCCAGGCTTAGACTGAGATGGGGTGGCCCTTCTCCTTCTGTCTTTTCCCAGGTGGACATCGCTGCAGACGCCATGCCTCTGAATCCACTTTCGGCTATCTCTCTCGCAGGTAACGGGATGCTGAGAGGCTGGTGGGGAGAAACACCCACTGGTTGGTGGTGGTCAGGCGCCGCACTCAAGGGATTTCTTTTATAATGCAAACCAGGACCATAATCAAACCTAGATGCAAAATACTGGTGGGTAGAAATGAACCAAGAATGAAAGAAGAGGATCTTAGGGGAAGACAGCTAGTTCTTGGCCTCTGTGGCTAGACATTTGAAGGTCTTTCCAACCTCTTGCAGATCATCCAGAGGCTTGCTGGTCGATCCTGAATTAATTAATTATTGGACTGATGTATTTTCTATGCTTTTTAATTAACTCTACTTCACCCTCCTTATGCTGGTCTTCGACCGTAACAAAGATTTGATTTGACTTGATTTGAATTAATTTCTGCCCACCCCCACAATAAAAGACGATGCCTTTGCCTCTGAAAGTTGAGTCCTTGGATGTAGACAGATGGAATTGAATCTTGGCTTCCAGACATAAACAGAACAAAACTTGAGAAAGTTTCTGGCCCCTGCTGTTTCCTAAAACTGATTGCTTGGGTTGATTTTGCCCCGTGAAATCACCCAGAGCTCACTTTGATATGTTCAACATCCAGGAAGGCCTCTCTGATGGAGGGTTCCCCGCCCCCGATGTTTAAAAGGCAACAGGAGTGTATGGAAAGACGTGGGCGGGTGCCTTTTCGTTTCTTTTGATTGCAACGTGTCTTTCTCTTGGCTGAGCACAGAGGAAGAGGGAACCTACTATTTTGTTTTTCTCCTCTCTCCGGCCTGCAGGGAATTTGCCTCCGCACACCTGCCTGCTTTGCGGTTTAGAAGCTCCGTCCCAGCACTGTTCAGCTTGCAATCAGAGTTTGTGTCCGAACTGCGACTGGCTGTTTCATAAGCACCCTTCCCGGACCCATCACCACCGGGTGCCGGTGAAAAACCAAACCTGGCAGAATCCGCCACCACCCCCTCCCCCCAGGTAGCTTCTACTTTTTGTTTTTAGATTTTTTAACCCGCCTTTCTTATTTTTATAAATAACTCAAGGCGGCAAACATACCTCATACTCCTTCCCCACAACAACCCTGTGAGGTGGGCTCGCTGAGAGGGAGGGACTGGCCCAAAGTCACCCAGCCGGCTTTCAGGCCTCAGGCGGGACTAGAACTCACCGTCTCCCGGTTTCTAGCCTGGGGCCTTCACCACTAGACCAAACTTGGAAGCTCCTCGGCCAGCCCGCTCAATGCACCCCTTGCAGGCCGGGGTCACCTGGGCCAGCAAAACAGCCCACCTGGAAAGGCTGCAGTTCTTGGCATCTGCAGCTGCGGTTTGGAAACACAAACCAGTTCCCTTTTTCCCCCCTTGTGGAATTTTTCCCACCAAAGAATTTATCCAGGATCCTCTTTTAGAGAAAAACGAAACCTTGATAAAGGCAGATGTGGGCTTTTCATGCCGCTATCGTTCATTTTTCTTCTGTCAGGCCCTTAAAAAGTTTCCATTTCCTTCTCTCGGCCTTTCGTCTCTTCCTTTGCCAGGAGAGCTTACGGGATCCCTGCATCTCTTCCTTGCCCCTTAGTCTTCCAGGCACTTTGGACTACAATTCTCATCTTCCCCAGCCAGTTCAGGGCTGTGCTACCTGGGCAAAGACAAGAATTGCAGGAAGGGGATGTTGGTTTCAAAAAGAGTTTACAGAGGATTTTACCCGATGGGTTTTTGAAGAATTTGCTGTAACTTTAACAGCTCTTTCTTGGTTCCTTTGCCCCTTTCAGCCCCAATCCTAGGAAAAGGTTTGGGTTTGTAAGCTTGGTGTCCTTGGCTTTCAGACCAGCCTTCTTGGGGCTTTCAGCTATGTGGACTTCAGCTCCCAGAATTCCCTTGCTGGCACAACGGTTGCAGAGAATTCTGGGAACTGAAGCCCACACCTCTGGAGGGTAGCCAGCTTGGTCATCAGCCTCCTGCATGTATTGAAAAGCTGTGGCTAAAGCTATGTTTCTAACTCGCGGGATTATGCGCCCTGATTTATGAAGCGTCTGATTCTTGTCTGTTTGAAGCTTGTGCAGTATACCCTCCGAATCCACTTCCTTGCGGCTTCCCGCAGTCTCCCGCAGCCTCCCCAACCCGCGGCCCCCGTGGCGTTGTGCATCCTGCCAGAAGACCAACGATGCCCGCTCCGTCCTGTGTGCAGACTGCGACCGACCCCGGGGGTGCAAGACCCCCCAGAGCCTCAGCCCGGAAGAGGAGCTGAGCAGCCTGGGGCAGCTGGCCAGAGGGCGCTGGTCATGCCAGACCTGCACGTTTGAGAACGAGGCGGCCACGGTCCTGTGCGCCGTCTGCGAGAGGCCGCGCCTGGCTGGGAGACCGGGCACCGGTGACGCCAAGCCTCTCATAGCCTGGGGTGAGGAGAACGGACCCCAGCAGGGAGATGTGAGTATGGGGGCTTCCAAGGGAAAGGGAACCTTTCTAAAAGGAGGAAACCTTGTTTTTAAATGTCTTTAACAGTTGGTAAACCACCCAGAGTCACTCGGAGTTAGGCGGCATATCAAGTTAATAGATGATGGTGATGGTGACAATGGAGTTCTCCAAGCTTTTGGGGTTGGGGGGCATGTTGGAATATTGGGTTGTGTAGTGGGCACTCTCACAAAATGGCTGTTGCTGTTTACCGGTTGGCTGTCATGGGGGGCCCTCACGACATTCGCTTAGGTCTTTCTTGATTTTGCGATCTGTACAGCCTAGTCCATTCCTAACGGACTGCCAGCCTTGCGAGGGAGGCTGGATCAAGACACCGACTTCAGAGGAAGACTAGAACTCTATTGAGAGAGGTTATAGCAGCAGTTCTCCAAGGGTGGCCTGGAGAGACCCTCCCCAAGACCCTTTCCGGGGGTCCGCAAAGTGAAATAAATATTTTAAAGTTTCTCACTTTTAATTTCTAATACAGTAAATATTGAGAGATATCACCCATGTAAACCAAAGATCTTTGGGGTCCTTCATCATTTTTAAGAATGTAAAGGAGCCTTGAGATCCAAATGTTTGAGAATCGCGCGGCTATATTAACAGGATTTTGCAAGTCTGCTTGTGTTTTTCCTCCCTACCCTTTTATACCCCTTTGAAAACATTCCCTTCAAGGCCATCTCCCTGGCTCTCTCCATGGACGTACAACACTTAGAAAACCCAGATTTATCAGCAGGCTGCCTGTGACCCCCTTTTAGCCCCTGATATATTTTTTTAATTTATTATTAAATTTATATGCCTCCCATCTCCCCCAGAGGGTGACTCTGGGCGGCTTACAATTAAAAACCAAGACCAGAAAAACAATAAAAATATAAACACCTCCCCCCCCCCGATTAAAACAAAAATAACACAAAATATTTGCAGCCTGGTCCTTCCTATTCTGCTTTTGTCTCCTTGCTGTGCTTTCCGCGCAAACAGCTGGGCTGAAGCCACCCCTATTTAAAAAAAAAGAAAAAAGTAAAGCTTCTGAGACCCATATATAGCTCAGAAGTATCCTTGGAAATAAAGATCATATGGAATAGTATATAGTATCTTTTTTTTTTCTAATTAAAACAAGTGAAGAGAGCCACACACTTTGTGACACAGAGAGAGAAATCTGTGACCACTTTTGTGCCCTGGGGTGACCTGTTGGAGAGGGGAACCCTAAACCACTCATTGCTTTTTCTCAGCTAGCAGTTCCTTGTATACTTAAAGTTGAATTATGCTAGTTAATTCATGGCCACTTCCTGTGGCCAAGATCAGCTTTCCCCCACCTGGCACGTAGGATGACATCCCTTTCGTGCTTGGACACCCTTTGCCTTTGAAAATTATGGAAGTTATATTGGTAATATTTTATCAGGGATCAGTAAGAAGCTATGAAGCTGGAGGGGTTTGCAAACTGGGTTTAATTTGGAAGCTGCTCAGAGTCGGGTAGCACCTAAATCTAATAAAATAAAATAAAGCACATGAGGGGGGGCAGCAGCTCCATTCTTACTTCTTTTCAAAAGCTTGAGTCGGATCTGTTAGAAACCCAACAAGAGCCTGCAGAAAATTTGGGAGCTTCGGTTGGGAACGACAGCATCTGGGTGCTGCTTAAAAAGTGAGGTTCCCAAAGAACGGGCTAACGTGGAAAGTGTTTTTATCCCCTGCCGGCTGCCCTCTCCCTTTCTCCCAAGCTGATTTTCCTTTTTATATCATCATGAGGTCTAGAGCCTTGCTTTTGGAGGACAAGTGGGTATCCAAATTGTTGGAATCATACTCTAAAGCCAGTGATCCACGTAACGCTGAGTTGGTGGCTTAGCCCCCGCATGTATTTTCTGGGCCAAGGGTCCACCTTGAAGTCCATGAGGTGAAATGGGGAAATAGCACACTTTGGAAAAAGGAAGGATGCCCAACCACCAACTCCACATCGCCTCTGAGTGCATAGGACTGGGACCTCAAAGCCCCTGCAAAAAGCTGATTTTTGGCTAAATGGCAGCTCGGCTTCTCTTGTAAAATTAATCACGGCCCGCGGCTCTCGGTGTCTGATCTGAGCTGTGCCCGGTCTTGCCCACCGGCTCTGATTAGAGCACGGAACCCCTCTCTTCCCACAGGCCCCCAGCTGGCAGTGTGAACACTGCACGTTCCGGAACAGCGTCCGTGGCCGGATATGTGAGATGTGCAACTGTACCAGCCTGCACAGCGATCCCCAGCAGTCCCCCCAGCTGGAGAAAGAGGTGGTGGGAAGGCTGAAGAGAGAGGTGGTGGAAGCCCCCGCAGAACCCAAGGGGCTGTGGAGAGCTCCGCCCATCTCATCAGAGGAGGTGGAGCATCAGAGGCAGGAGAAGCTGCGGGAGGATGGGCAGAAGATGGTCACCATGATCAGGGTGAGCTCCCCCCCACCCCCAAAGCAAGTCCCCCAAATAACTCATGACCCATGGATTCCTAAATGGGTCTTCTCCAAATTGCATGCCAGCCGGGGATTCTGGGAATTGCAGTTCGACATCCAGGTGTGCTACATTTTGGGGTCCCGGGGGCCTCTGAAGAGCAAACCTGACAAAACCCTTTGAGTGGGTTCACCGTCCCCATGATATGATTTTGTTTAGGCTCAATCTGGGAATGAACCACTGTGGTTTAGAAGCCATTGTTTACGGTTTGGTGTATTGCATGATCCTAGGTCGTTGTGGTTTATTCGGTAAACCATGGCTAGATGTTTTGTGCCAATCTGTCCTCTGTTTTTCTCTTGTATGTGCACTCAAATCCCTTTTTATATAGCTATATATAATATAGATATACATATAGTATAGGCATCTGTCTGTCTGTATTCTGCCAAACAAAGAATCTCCAAAAACTGCCCTGGGCTAGAGCAGGAGAGTCTGGAGTCTTTTTTATTTTCAGTCCCAAATTCAGGATACTTTTCCAAGACAGGAGCAGCTGAAGGAAAGCTGAGGGTATGGGGATTAACTACAAGTGCCAAGAGCATCTTCCTTGCTTAACTGTGGATTTTTTGACAGACATCAGATGGGAAAAGGGGCAATGGGGTGGGATGGGGTTGTGTTCTCTATGGGGGGGTGTCCCTTCATCTCCTACATCACTCATTCTCATCCTGGCCAATATAGTTGCCAACCAGCTTCAGAGCTAAATTTGGCCTTCTCTTTGTAATCCCGGTCCAGTTGACCTGGCTCCATCCTTCGCTGCCTTTGCCCTGCAGGAGGCTGAAAGTGTGGGGGTGGCCCCCGAGATGGTGGCAGCTGCCTTGTGCTACTCAGGAGCTGAGCTGCCCCTGGCATGGCTGAACTCGGAGCTTCCCTGCGTCCTGGAAGGCATGGCAGAACTGGCCACGCAGCGAGGCGAGAAGGAACCCGGCGGCGGGCTGGGCGCCATAACGCTCCAGGAAGTCCAAACCGCATGGGTGGCGAGCCGGGGGGACGTGGACGAAGCTGTTAGCCGATGCCTCAGTGCCCGCCGCAGCAAGGTCAGTCTGGCCAAGATGCCTGGGAAAACATGGAAGAAGACATTAGAAGGGGGAGTTGCCATTCAGAGTCCCTTGGGCAAGGTAGGGGGGTTGGAAAACGGGTGGGGTTCAAGAGAAGGATCGGGAGGGGAGGAGACTGAGCGGTGGGTGGGGCTGATGGATTTCAAGCTGAAAAAGGGAAGGAATTCAATAATGAGAATACTTTTGGCCCACGGAGTCCTCAACAGATCTCCAAATTGTACACCAGCCGGGGATTCTGGGAATAGCAGGGGACCCAGGGGTCTCAGCTATGCCTAGTTGAGAAGATGCATAACTCAGGGTTGAACTGTTGGGTTCTTGGTGTTCTCTGAGCTCAGTCATTCAGATGTTTCATTACCTGACTAGGGAACATCATCAGTGCACGGGGAGTGCTGGGGGTTTATATATAGTAGCTTGCCCTGCTAGAGGGATTGGAGTGAAGTTTCTTCCTTGATAATCTTCCTGTTGAGGAGGAAACCACACCCCAACCAAGACTGGCAGGGCTTTACACTATACAGGTAGTCCTTGACTTACAACCACAATTGGGACTGGAACTTCCATTGCTAAGCGATGTAGTCATTAAGTGAGTTCCCACCCAATTTTACGACCTTTTTTGCCACGGTCCTTAAGCAAATCACATTGTTAAGTGAATCTTACTTCGCCCATTGATTTTGCTTTGACAGAAGCCCCCTGGGAAGTTCGCAAATGGCAATCACGTGACCCTGGGACACTGCAACCGTCATAAATACATGCTGGTTGCCAAGTGCCTGAATTTTGAACACATGATTGTGGGGACGCTGCAATGGTTGTAAGTGCGAGGACTGATCATAAATCACTTTTTCCAGCACCATCATAACTTTGAATGGTCATTAAACAAATTGTTGTAAGTCAAGGACTACCTGTATTTATAAACCATCAGCAAACATCATTCCCCCCACACACTGATGCCTGGTCACTAAACGTCTGCAGGAAAATAACCAAGCTTAGAGAACATCAAGAATCCAACAGGGGAGTTATGAGTTACATTTGGGAACATCAGCAAATGGTTGATGAGTGAGTTAAATAAATTAAATCTTTAATTAAATGAATTCATTAAATGAATCATGGATGAATCATGAAATGAATTAATGATGAATTCATGTAATGAAATGATTAATTAAATCTTTAAATTTTTAAGGTCACTGGAGGTTTTCCAGCCAAGGTTGGACAGCCATTTGCCTGGGATGGTCTGAGGTTGACCTTCCCTAACCAGGGGGTTGGACTAGGTGACCTCCAAGACCCTTCCAACCCTACAATTCTATGAGTTGGCCTTTCTAGATTTTGAAGGGGAGCCAGGTTGTGGGAATTTTAGAGACAGGAGCTTCAGTGGAGATACGTAAAATGAGAAAAAACAAGCAGGTGTCTCAAAAGCAGTGTTCCTCAACCTTGGCAACTTTAGGCTTGCCAGCTGGGGAATTCTGGGAGTTGAAGTCCACCTGTCTTAAAGTTGCCAAGGTTGAGGAACCCTGCTCTAACAGATAAAGGCAGGTCCTGGTTGAGATTCAGCTGTTAGGAGATGACGTGGGATGTCAGTTTGAACTTTCTTCCCTCCACTGGGGAATTCTGGGAGTTGAAGTCCACCTGTCTTAAAGTTGCCAAGGTTGAGGAACCCTGCTCTAACAGATAAAGGCAGGTCCTGGTTGAGATTCAGCTGTTAGGAGATGACGTGGGATGTCAGTTTGAACTTTCTTCCCTCCACAGGTGCGGGAGCTGAAGGCTCTGGGCTTCGAAGAGCGGGGCCCTGTCTTGCAGGCCCTGTACCAGAACAACGGCGACCTGTGGCGTGCGCTGGTCCAGCTGCAGCGTGCCCGCTTGGCGCCTTTCCATCAGCGGCTGTGGGAGAGCGAAGACCCTCCTGTGGACTTCCACACCCCTGACCGGCAGGTGAGGGAGAGGAAGGGAGAGCCTTCAGGGTCTTCTTCCCCGCCAGCTCGGCCCGTGGGGGTCACGACCAGTCCCTTCTCGCCTCTTCCTTTCCTAGGCTCTGCTGCGACGTCTCCTGGCCTCCCTCTCTCTGCCCAGCTGGGGCCGGGCCGAGCTGGTGGTCTCCCTGATGCTCGAGCAGCCAAACGAAGGCTGGGAGTTGGCCGACATCGTGGAAGCCGTCAAGGCCTCCCCCAGCCGCGACTTCATCAAACGCTTGCTCAGCTGGGAGTGCGCCGTGTGCAGCCTGGCCTTGCCACGCAACAAGGTACCCACGGGCGCCTTGGGCCCTAACCTCCAGCCAAAAATGAAATCTGCTTGTTCTTCATTGTTCATGGCAAGGTCTCCAAACATTTCCTCCTTTCTACCTCCAAACCATGGCTATGTCTCTTCTTGGGAGCAGAGAACTCGGGTTGGCCAATGATGGGACTGTCTTGTCTCTACGATCACGTCTGCTCTGAGCTGAGCGCGCAATAAAATAGTTGCTGGAAACTTTTTAGTGCTGGTTCCAGATGTTCAGTTTATTGTCATCTGCTAGATGAGTGTTTCTCAACTTTGGCCGCTTTAAGATGTGTGGACTTCAACTCCCAGAATTCCCCAGCCAGCATGGCTGGCT